GCATGAGAAAAGATTGTTCTGTAATGTAGTTGGTTTTTGAAATTGTAAGCTTCTTTAAGCAGTTCTTCCCTATGCACTGTTTGCAGGATAATGAATTGGTCGGGGTCGTTGGAGGTAGTGGTGGTCTATACATAATTCCAGCTGTGATACAGGTTTTTCTAAACCATTTTGTCTTGGGAATGGAACCTCTAGCGGCAGTTCAGAGTGCAAGAGTCTACCACAAGGTCGCTCACTTGATTTGGAACGTAAACTTCATTTCATTTTGATGAACCCTCTATTGATTTAACATGAACTTTGTGCAGCTAATACCAAATGTGGTTTTATATGAAAACTGGACGGTCATCGATGGTGAGCACATAGAACTCTCGGACGAGAAAAAGCAGTTCTTGGAAGAGAGAGGTCATCAACTTCAGGCTAAAGCAGGAGGAGCTGTCTGCCAGTTTGTTGTTCAAAACATTAACAACCCGATTGAAATGGGCCGTAAAAACCGAAAAGTGCCTGTAGACCAAGTATTCAGAGGAACACTTACTGGTGTTAGTGATCCTAGGAAAGATGGGAGGCCTGCTGCTATCTGATACTGATAGTCCCTGTTGAGAGTATTATTATGTAATTACTATTTAATATTGTTGAAATAAGTATACCACTTAGAGGGTATACTTGTTCTTTGTATGTTTACAGATAACTATAAATACAATTTGTTAGTGAGAGGTAGCCGGCACTTTCTTGCTTCTGGATTATAAAATTAGGCAGTTTTATGTATATAACAACAACAGTAGGGGCTGGTCCTGAATAAGTCTTGTTTTACCATTAAACCATATGCTTTGATGATTTCCAGTTGTGCTGAAACAACTTCTACACCGTAATAGAAATAACAGTAATGCCAATTTTTCTCAATATATTCAGAACAGTCGGTTCAATTACAACTCATTGAATCGACTAAACGTTTTCTGCTAACCAAATCCACAGCCCTTAGATTATTCCACTCTAATGGAAAGCATTCCATTTGTTTAGCTCAATGCACAGTAGGCACTACAACAATTAGATATATATGATGCCAATGAGTATCAGAAAAGGAAGTCACAGTGATAGCAAGGCATTGTTAAAACATTGGCCCAACTGACTAAGATGCTTTGTCCAGCAGCTGTATCGGAGTAAGAATGTTAGACTTGCTGGTCTCAACAATGCACCCATTCATGACCATTTCCTCTAGCATAAAGTGTGCTTTCTCCAGATGGAACATGATGTCCAGCTCACACTGCAAAGTCAAGCATACACCAAATCAGATAAACCCACAAAAACCAACAAGACAGAAATGTAGACCTGCGGGAAAGAAACCCAAAATTTTTTTTTTTTTTTTTGGGGGGGGGGGGGGACTTGCTCCTAAATGGGTCAGTTTTTGTTTAAATCTCTAAACTGGGAATACTTACCACATTGCCAAAATGGCGGTCCATTGTTTCGACTAACAGATGAATGAATTCCAAAATTGCAAGCTCATTCTACAGATAGACAACGAAAAAGGAAACATTTTTGAGAAAAAAGGCATAACAGAGCATCATTTTCATGAACAACACATCAAGAAAAGCATCATTTTTCCACTTGATCAAAGACGTGTTCTTCAATTATGTTTGCCCATGGATCAAGGTCTCAAATAAGATTTTGAACTTTTCAGAAGCTACCTTCAATCTGTAATGAACCAAACTGATATGCCAAACAAAAAACTTGAGCTTTTATCACGCAACTTTCAAAAATTGCTCACGTACTTGGTCTCTTCATTCATGCTAAACCCCAACCACATAGAACATGTTTGAAACACAATCAAAACATAGAAGATGAATACCACTATTAGGTCCATTGACCAACAAGGGCAATTAATTTGTGATTGGAAAGCAAGGGCCGCCTACTTTAGACTATAACTAAATCTACGATACTGCTATGTATGCTGTTAGTAGAAAACAAACTCATAAAATTAGTAAGATTCATATGCATTCAATTTTCCCAGAATCAAGCACCAGTTCATTAAAGCCACAAAGAGATAGAATAACTCACTTCTTCATTGTCAACCCCAACCAAAAAGAACAACGAAGCATATCGCCTGTACACGATTTTGTAGTTCCGATGCTCGACAAAGGAACACTGTTCCCAAATACAGAAAATCACATCAAATTATTTAAATACCTGCTCAAATAGAGATACAACTAAAATACAAGTAGTTTCACAAAAAACACGAATGACTAAATTAAAAACTCAGACGCCTAAAAATTATTGCAAGAACATAATTCCCATATGATTAAGAAACAAGTAGTATAACAATTAGGTACAAAACAAAATACAACGGCCAAAGTCGAAGACTATGTATGCAAAGCAGGAATTCAACACAAAGAAACACTATTACAATGAGTGGTCAAAACAAAAGCATGAAAAACCACCTAAATAACTAGTGTCAGGTAAGCCGTCTCCGCAGATCTAAATCATAAAAGGAAACCCCGGTGTGAAAGCTTCACTACGCTCTGGTTGACTACTATACATGACTCAATCTAAAGGGTGCCTAATTTGACAAGAAAATTCCTTCAATTTTGTTCAATTTCGTTCGTTCATAAGGGCGTAGGTTTAGATATCAGTAAACATATGTTTCTACATATTTTCATGTGGTGCAGAGGACATAGGTCTATGAATAATCACGAGAGAGAGAGAGAAGTGGGAGACCTGTTGGTCGTTACGAGCGAGGCATTTGCGGACGATTTCGCCTTCAAGGGCTCGTCTTTCTTCGAGAGTGAGGTATTCAAAGTACTGGGCGAGACGGGTTTGCCCTTGCTTGTTCACCATCAATATGAATCTGATTCCCATTTCTGATCGACAGATTGTTCGTGCGTCTGTCTGTGTGTTTGTTTGTGCGAGAGCGAGCGAGCGAGCTATGATTCAACTTTCAACTGGTATAATGGCGTACATAATATAATATCAGAAGTACCCTTCGAAAATTTTTAAATACCACTAATACCCTATCGTTCTTTTTCACAATATTTTATTACTAATTGTTGCACAAATTGAGCTGGTTATTGTGCAATATAGAATAACTAATTATTGTCTGACACGGTGTAATAAAAAAAATTAATTATAAATATATTTATATTTATACCCAAAATTAAATAACAAAAATAAAGTAGAGAAAAAAAAAATTAAATACCGCTTGTAACGTGGGTGAACGGTGGTAGTTGTAGTGGGTAGGGCTGTCAAAATTTGACCCGACATGATGAACTGATAAGAATCGATACGAATTAAACGGGTTTGGGTGATAAACGGGTTGAGGCGCCAAACACGTTTAATAAACGGATCGTGTTCGGGTGAGACCTGTCAAATCGTTTATCACACGTGTACCTGTTTAAATAAAATTAATATAATAATAAATTAATAATTATTTAAAAAAAATTAGCAAGAAAAAAGAAGTAAAAAAATCAATAAAAAAAAAAAGTAAAGTAGTAGTTCAAAGACAAAGAAGAATAGTTAGAGAGCACTTCAAAGGCAAATGCAAACAAATGTCTTTTATTTTTGTCCCACATTGAAAAATGAAAAGAGATGGGGAGGGTTGAGTTGCCTATAAAAGACAATAACCTCTTACTTTTATTTTTAAAACTTTCAAGTCTTATTTTTCAAATACAAATGAGAGGAGTTGTAGAGTACTTGAAAGACAAAGGCAAATCAATATCTTTTGTTTTTGTCCCACATTGGAAAATGAGGGGAGAAGTAATAAAAAAAATAGAGTATTAAAATTTGTTGATATAATTTTTTTAAAATTAAATGGGTTAAACGAGTCGTGTTATGTTATCCGTTTATTAAACAGGTTGTGTTTATGTTGAAATTTTTTACTAGTTTATTAAATGTGTCGTGTATGGGTTTACACGTAACCATTTAATCTGACACGATTGACACCCCTAGTAGTTGGGCGATAATGGGGGTATTAGTGGGTGATAATGGTGGTGGTGAGAGACAATAATGGTTGTTGTGGATGATGACCACGTGGTGATAGCCATTGGTGACAACGATAATGATGGTGGTGAGTTTTGGGTGATGATACTGGTAGTGACATTCACGGGGAAGGTAGGTGACAGACAACAGTGATGGTGATTGGCAGTAGTGGTGGTGGGGCAACGACGATTATGGTGGCAATAATGCTAGATGGTGACGATGATGGTGGTAGGTATGAGCGGTGATGGGTGACGACAAGTGCTTGTGGACAACGGTGGTGGTGGGTGGTGGTGAATGGCAACGGTGGTGGTGGTGAAGTATTTTGTAGAGAAATAATTTTAAAAAATAGAAGTTTCTCCTCTTTTATATATCCATAGAAGAGATGAGCCTCTTGAGTCCTTAGTGAATTTTCATTTTTCGCCCATGGTTAATCGGGTAGAATACCACATTCTTCTATTGAAAATACAAAAAATTAAATTGGGAACAAGGAGTTGCTATTGTTATTAAAGTTTGATCGTCGAAATTGCAATTAACAAGTTTGTCAATGACATTGCCTAATTATGTTATGTCTATTGAGATTTGATTATATAGAAGGCTCTAAATTCATATTTATTGTCACCAAATAGGCCAATAGCACGGTAGAGGGGGTGTGAGGAATGCCGACAAGTAACATAGGACAGGGGGAATACAACAAAACAACCTAGGGGAGACATGCTACCCAATGACATAGGAGGAGGAATGCCATCAAACTCCACGAGATCAGGTGCATTCAAGATGGAAGGAGGAATGCCGCCAGAAAATTACATGGAAGGAGTGCCCGACGATGTACCAACCTTCCAATTCGAGGATATGTTTAGCAACAAGGTATTCCTCCCACCCCACTTCGCCTATAAATAAGTAAATCCAATATACAATTATAAATCGATTAAATATAAGTTATATAATTTTAATATAATATAAATCAAACATGATTCGATGAACATAACAAGACACATTGTCAACCCCGTAAACGTAATTATAAGGCATGATTCTAATTTTCTAATAGATGCTGGCAAATTCATACTTTCTATATTCACTGTCATTACATACAGTATCTAAGCAAGTACACGAGAAAAAAAAAAGAATCAAATTAGCACCTAATATTGCTTGTACATTAGGCAAGGAAACATAAAACTAGGGTGAATTTCAGCACATAATCTCTTTGTGATTCAACTTGTTATCGGTGCAAGTATCATCTAACAGCTGAGTTGGTGGTTCTTCCTCCTTGATGGCTTCGATGACATCTTTGGCACTCAAAAAGCTGGGCTGATTCGTTGAAGACAATAGCCTTGCCCACATCCTATCCGTTATCACAATCCTGTTCTGTATCTCTATAATTCTCTGCAGACAGCATTTAGCAAGTACTCCTTTGTTAGCGATAAGAAGAAAGTTTTGATGACATTGGAAAAATCTAAAAAACTTTCCATCAAGAGTATATTTCATGAGAGCAAGGGAGAGAGAGAGAGGTTTGCAATTATACAAGTAATCACCATTTCCCTGCTAAAGATATTAACTTAACAGTCATAAAATCCACCTAAATGGAGCCTTTATCAACAGAAAATTATCTACATGTAAAGTTGGCCATGAATGCGGAAACCAGGAAAGGAAGATTAGAAGATGGAAGCCCAAAAGTTGTTTCCAGAACGAATAACCCTCCATATTGTTTTCACGCAATCATGAACCGAAGAGGCAAAGAGAAACTTAAAGTAACAAATCACACGAAAAGGGAGACGTCTGAAAAAACTTTAGAGTTCATTATGCATATGGCACAACCATTTAACCATAGCAAAATAAGCTTTCAGAAAGAAAGCCACAACATATGATTATTGTTTCGTGTGATCATGGACCAGACTCAAAATACAACAATAAATATAAAAATAATATAAAAATATATAAAAAAAATGAAGCAACTGAGAAAACTTTAGAGTTCATTTGGCATATCGCACAACCTTAAAACCAGGGATAAATGGTACCGTAATTACAGAAATTATCTGAACAAGAAGGTAATTTTAGTAACAAAAAAAATGTGCTGTTGCCAGGGCTCATTCTTCCAACCACACGAAGGAAAGAAGATTTCAACCATAAGCCTCACACATGCAGAAACAAGACACAATGTCTTTATTCAGAAAACATTATGAAAAGATGATCAAGGTAAATTTTCAAAAATTATCGAAAATATAAAAAAAATAGAAATATCAGTGAAATTGGAACTACAAAAAATAGAAAGTAACAAATATAACAGATCTGTTTTACGGAATGGATTGACTCACATTGAAGGGTATGTAAGCATGTCTGCCATTGACTTGCCCAACTGTAAAGCCTGTGTAGCCTGCCATTGCTCCATGAACTGCACTTTGAGCTAGGAGTGTGCAGTACACATTATCAGACGCAATGCTAGGAATAGCACGGATCATGTATGTAGGATCTGCCATGCAACAAAATGAAAGTACCACACTGGTAAATTATTGACCCCTCAATTATTTGACAGCTGTTATATTTATCAAAGAAACCACATATTACCAACCTATATATTTGAGATTAATGGTCATCTTCTTTCGTCTTGAAAAATGATCCTGCAAATAAAACCCAAGGTTTACTGAAAAGTATCTCACGCTTAAGGATTGTGACTGATAATTAGAAAATTTTGAGCAGTGTTTTCTAGAAATTAGTATCACATAGATTTGGTATGCAAAAAATAAAAATTTACACCTCATGTTCTTCGGGCCATGTATATGAAACCAAGGGGGAATTGCAAGAAGAAAAGAGCAAGGGCCCTATTTTTAACTATCTAAACCTCCTTAATGACCAAATGGTAGTTCCATGTGCACAAATTTACTGCTCCCTTAAGAGATATTCAA